CATTCAGTCAGCTTGGCTTTTTCTATAGTTTGCCTTTTTGTCTACCTTCTTTAGTCAATGTCGCATTGGTCCATTCCGCTTAGCAGGCGTCTATGTTCATCGACTGGCATTCCGTTAGATTGACTTAGGCTTAGAACTCTGGCTCTACAAGAAAGGGTGGCTATCCACTCCTCGATGAGGGTGACAATAACAACACTTGAATAGAACCTCTCTTCAATTGATTTAAGAAAGCTAATTAGCCAGAACTAGATTGAAACTAGAAGCTACCCCCCGGGAAGGGATCCAAAAAGACTCATACGCTTGATGAACAGACAAACCCTCTCTCAGACGGACGGACCATAATTTGGGATTCCCATAAGACAGGGACTAATCCAAATCTGTTGCCTCACTCTTTGTTGTTGCATCGAGCAGATCATTGCTAGTGGTGCCATAATACTTTTTCTTGCCTATGGGCTTTACACTAATCTAGTTGTGTCAGACGGGTAATCGAAGAGGTGAAGCAATTCTGATTCGATAGGTTTGAGAAGCAATAAGTATGGGCGTAGATCAGTTTAGAGAGTTAAGGCGGCAAAGTCATGAACCCCAGGGAAATCCGCCGATTGGTCGATCGATCTTAAGCTTCTTGTTTGATCGGGTCTCTCAGGCAGGCAGGGAATGAAATTTTGATGATAGAAAAATAATCTTCTTCGATGACTCTCTTCCACTGGTACCATCCCATCTTCCTCTCTTAACCCGAATGGGATTGATGAACGGACCTTTTGATAAGGGAATAAACGAGTTGTTAATCTAATCCGATCATTTCGAAGAGAAGCTTACCTTTGGTTCGGGAAGCCCAATCCGCGCCTAGGTTCTTCGTCCTCTCATTTGGAAAGGCAAGCAAGTAAGGAAGGGGGTCTGTGATTAATAGGTAAGCCTGTGCTGCTAGTGTTAAGCTAGTGGTAAGGCAGCAGTAGGCCAGTAATCTTTCTAAGAGTATGCCTTTCCGTGCAAGTATTCTCCTCGCTTTCAAAGCGAAGATGTTGACTAAGTAGTCGGCCGACTTACTAATACCAGCACCACTAAAAGAAAGAGGGCTTTCTTCTGCCTTTCCTTCCTTTTACACCTTCGATTGGGACTTCTTAGTGGTCCTTGGCCATTCCTCCTCGACCCACTCGTCCATCATGTCTTGTCTTAGAAGAGAGATGCCATGGCCCATGTTTGAGATTGTTCGAGATCGGTCAAGTCTTGTCTTCTTTTCTTTCAATTATGGTAGAGTGAGATGATAGCGATTCCGAAGAGGAGCCTTAGGCAAAAGGTCCGAGCAAAAACTTGAATAAATGCGAAAGTTGGTCGAAAAGTCATGATTGACAAAGCTCGAGACCATTGATCTAGAGCCGCTCGGACTCGATCTCCTTTGTCATAACCTGGAGGCCTTAGCAGAACCAAGCTAATTTGTTCCTTTCTTTGGCTATACAATCGCCTTGTCTCCGGGACTTAGAGTCAACCGTAGGCTTTGTTGAAGTCACCGGGTAAGGGTGTTAGGCCGATTCCAGTGAGTGGATGGCTTGAATGATGCCTTGGAGAGAGGGAAATACCCAAGTTGCCTTTGGAAAGAGGTTTGCAAGTCCTTACGCTAAGGGAGAGGCTCGACCATAGGTTTGTCTCATTCGTTTAAGTGGGGCTCCCGTCGTTCCAGTCTGTCTTCCTATTTATTCGAGATGGAATGCTAGACCCAAGGAGTGGATGGACCAGGTGGCTTAAGCTTCGTCTTTGAATAGACCGAGGTCTCGTTGCTTGACTTCCTCTCCCTTATTCAAGTTGGGACACCGGCCCTTACACCTAGTTGCCTTAGTAGGACGGGAAGACTTCTTTGTTTCGACTTTTGACTCAATTGACATGAATCCAGCCTCCTTTGTTAGAATCCGGTGATGCTCGCTTTCGCCCAACTCTTTGAATCATTGATGAGTCAAGTCGGTCCCCGATCTCCTCCGGCGGCCGACTTTGCTTTCGGGTCAATAAACGAATCTAGCTTACTTAAGATTTTGAAAAACTCTTGGCCGTAACCCATCGTCCTTTAGATGTGGAATTCTATTTTCCAGGGCCTCGTCGCTTAAGATTCTAAATAAACTGAATCCGTTAGTTCGGGGGAAAGAGAATCAATCTGTTGGTTAGGTGTCCGCCTTTGTATCTTTGGATCCGTATTCATACGTTGGAGTTGGAACTACGGCCTCCGCCCTCCAGCAAAAATTCTTAAGCTTGATCGGTGTCATAGCCTCGGGACCTTGCGGACAACCCACACATCGCCCGTCGCGCGCTGGTCGTCACATGAAGGTTTTTGTTTTTATGTGCTTGCTATGCGCTTTCTCGCTTGCCTATCTCTTTGCCTTTCTCTCGCAAGCCTCGCTTCGCTTCTCTAATCGCTAAGCCCTATACAGATTGGAGCGGTGCCCTTCCTTGATCTTCTCTTCTTTCTGTGCGAAAACCATCTTTCTCAGTTTCAGTTGAACAACCAGTTCTGAATCTACTTATGTCTATCCTCACGCGTATAAAAAATTCTCTCCAGAACGTGAGCTTGTATTTAAAAAAAATCGATTCGTTCGATCAGAGCCTGTTAGAGATTCACAATCACCGAAAGCCGAGCTATGGTATGGGCCCGCAGGTTATGGATAGTGAGGAAGGTCATGCCAATTGAGGTATGGGCTGTGTGATGACTTTATCTTTTAGGGAAGGCTCTTTACCAAGTGAGTCTGCGTAGCATGCTCCGAACCAGAAGAATCATTTGAAATCCCATTTTCACCCGGATGAAGCTTCCTTCTAACTAGCAAGTGGAGCCCGGATTATGCATTACACTCTGTCCTCCACTGCAGAATCTGCTGTTCCAAAGAAGGATAAAGATTCTTTTTCTAAATCTCTGTATTTCGCCCTATTTACTTTACGGATGTGAGACCTACTTCTTTACAGAGCCTTTCTATCTATCTTATCTAAATGATAAAAAAAAATGGATTATATTATTATGATCTAAGGGATCCAAGACCAAATCTGTATCCCATTCTTCAGGTATATCCCTTACTATGTCCCTTTTCTTTCTTTATGTCAGAGTAAGCTGGTCTTTCTCTCAGATCAAAGCGGTTGGTGACAACGTGAATTTTATTAGGAGGGACAATTGATTTTGGAAGAGATTGAATTAAAAAGAATGCGAACCTCGGTCCTAATCGAGTGGATCCCAAGCCAGCCCATTAACCCATGTTCTGCTAGCCAGCTAAGCTAAAGCTTGCCATCGACCGCTTCGTTTGGAAGTAAGCGCATCTGCCCACCTATCCATCAACCAAGAGAGAAGGGAATGACCAACCAAGCGAGCAGAGCCCAACTACCAATCCTGGAACTGGTGGCAATCTAACGAATCCGGGAAAGGAAGTGACCTCGCCGGAGCCTTCATTCGTCCTCCTCCGAACCCCATCCCTATGACTCAAGATCTGTAGCGCCATCGAGGCGTAGCGAGACAATGAGTTCTGTTCCTCCAACCTTCTCATCCAAGTTCTTCTTCTTCACCAGGCCATAGCACTAAAGATCCCTCGTCTCCTCCTTCCTATCGAGACCCCATCTCCTGCACCTGCTAAGCAAGATCTTTCATCTTCCACTACCAAGCATCTCTATCTCCATTTCTTTGTTCCGATGTCTATCCTGCGGACTTCCCATATCTAGATCCCTGGGATGCAATGAGGCAAATCCAAGTCTTTCTTCCCCTGGGTCCTCGTAGGCGAAAGAAAGAAGAAAATTGGGATTAAGTGGAACGAAGGGTTGGCTCCTCTCGCTTCTCCCTTTAACACCAACGTATGTCCTCTTAGTCAAGGAAAACCCCTTTCTTTATCTTTAGTTAGGGCAAATTGAAGAATCTTTCCCACGGGTCAGGGTTATATTGCTAGCTTCTTCATCAAAAGGAAGGGCCAATAAAGATGAAACTTACCACACCAGTACGAAAAGGGAGATTTGGACCCAGGAGCTAGAACTGATAAAGAGAATCATAAATTTTAACCAGTGCAAGCTAAGCGTAAGGAATTGGCAGATGAAAGTAAGACTATGCAAAAGCAAAAAAGGTATAAATCTTATTTCACCTATAGTAGAGGGCTTTCCCTTTCCTTATGAAGCGTGCTTTCATGGCCATAGAGTTCCCATTCTTTCGTGTGCGCCTGGTCAATAAAGACAACCTTCTCTAATCGTGTAGAGCGAGGCAATGAGCATTATGCCGCTTGCGACTCCCGTGTCTACTTTTGACAACTCGGGCGGTGGTAATGTAAATTTGTGCGCTTGGTCCATCCCGTACTTGCTCGCGAGTGCTTTCTTTCCTTCATACATCGAGGGGATATCCGTAGAGCCGGGTCTGGTTGATCCGGTGGAACAATATTCAAGGTATGTCCTTTCCACTTCTGTTATAATAGAGACTTCGGTTGAGCTGATAAGGGCGGGTTAGCGAAGTGCAATCCTGGGCTTGGTGCCTAGGAGGTCTACGATCAGAGCGCACTCACATCCCTTGCAGTCACTGATCTCCGACCACCCTACGTTTGCTTCTTCTTGCTTAGAGCTGAAAACCTTCTCTAAGACCCTACTTCATATAGACAGAACGAAAGAAAGGAGGTCGGTAAAAGTTAGGCCCATTGAGCTCAAGATCTCTAGAGCGAAAAGAAGCCGTACAACACCTTTCACTCATAGAAGAAGTGAGCGCTTCGGTTCCCCATAGGAGAACCTATGCTTGACCCTGCTAACGAAAGGGCCCCAGCCCCCAAGGGGCGAGGAAAGACAAGAACGAACAGAGGAAGGAGCAGCGTAGCAAGAAAAAGGCCTAGCGCTTAGGTCCCTTGCTCGTCAGTCTGTCTTTCCCCTTGGGTTCGTTCAATCAAAACGAAATTTCCATTGAGTGGGGATCAAAACTACTTATAAAAGGATATACCACCTGTTGCCACATTTGCTTATTCAACTTCAAAAAAGAGTTCGCTACGGACTATCTGATGAGCTACTAAGTATGAACTTAGGACAGCTAACACCGTTACGTGAGTGGCTCACTACTTCATCTTTCCACTACTTCACCTGCTAACAACCTTACTTTTGTAGACCGATTGTAGTTCTCTTTCCCCGCCTATCGTTGAAGTTTATCCCGAACCTCGCTAACTACTTGACCGAGACCGAGCTTACCTACTTCACTTCCTTACCTCCTCCCCTTTCTTCTCACTTGACTCGGCTCACTACTTACTATCTATAAACCATAAAGAGACCAATAAAGATGGTAGACGAGAAGAAAGGAACCGACCTACTTCAACCGCACTGTGGGAAAGACATACTTTATTCCTGTGGCCAGGTCGGGTTACGGGTTAGGCAAGGAATCAGAGCGGCTGAACGAAAACCGGCATAGAATGGAATTGATTGGTTCGCCACTTCTGAAGAAGCGAAGGAGGAGGGCGCAAGGATCAACCAGCTCTTCTTATTACGATTACGTGAGTTTTGACTATCGGGATTTGGCTCATTCAATGCCATCAACCAAGGAAGTTTTTTCGACTTCAGGGAGCTCAGTTGAGTGGAAGCCGCCAAAGGAGAAGAATGCCACTTTATCGAAAGGGGAAGGACGGTCAGACAGAACTCGACTTCCAGTCCAGCAGAGAGAGAAAAGGCTATCCTCGATTCTTTCTCCAAGTCTGAACCTTCCACTTCTCTGACATCAACCAATCCAACCCAACTAGTGCCAAGGAGATACCCATCTTCTTTGATGGGATGGTGAAGGGATTTCAGTCCAGACTAATTCTTCTAGGTTAAATTCTTTTCCTCTAAAGAAGGGTTAGGTCCGTTTAGAGTCACTCGACCCGGAAACAACAGCTTTTCCTAAATAAAAAATAGAAAGGGGTTAGCATTTCGAGTGAAGTAGTTAAGTGCCCCATTCTTGATGCGAGCTCTCTACTACCGGAGTCGAAAGGAAATGACTGGGAATCTCGGTAGTTTGCTCGGAGAGCGAGAGCACTTGTTATGCCCTAGCCGGGACCGCTCACCGAACTATCGTGTCCACGAGTCAAAGCGCCACTATTTTATCCCCTTTGGGTCTTAGCACCCAAAAAGGAGAAGGCACCCGGTAAATAAGAGTTTCCATTCCAGTAGCATCAGGTTGAGTCGAGTCTTTCCGTATGACCGTCTTCAGAGACAAGATTCTGAGTAGCAGTTTCAGCTGGATCCCGAATCGACTTCTATTATCTTAATAGAATAGTTCATACGCTCGTACCAAGCAAGAGGTGCCGTGATATACCCATGAGTGAAAGGTAAGATCTGAAATCGGTCTAGAGAAGCAAAATTGCTTTTCTTTGTGAATCTCACATAAGCTAAAGTAGATCCATCAACCTTGTAATACGCGAATACCTGAATACCTATAGTTAAAGCTTTCCCCGGTACTCCTTCCCCCGGGAGATTTATTATTATTATTAGTCAAATAGGGCCACGGATGTCGGCCAGAAGCATGCTATTGAGCAAGCCCAGCCGAACCTAAGTGTCATAAAAGCGAGGCAGCTTTATATGGAACAAAAAGTATTCCCAACCGGGCAGTACCTCTTCCAGAGCCCGCTACTATGGAAGTGGGAATCCTCCTTCTCAAGGCCGAAAGAAGTAGAGGGGAGCTCCTTTGTAATGTAATGAAGGTTTGGTGTTCAGTCCGCCATTCCAAGGTAAATGCCTTTAATTCAAGTTAGCGTGGTAACGAGACGGTGAGTGAAAGCTAATCGGTTAACGAGACTGAGGAAGATGCCTAGCTAGTTTTGAACCAGAGCAGGGAAGTGAAATAGCTAAATCGGAAGCCCTCGATTAGCAAAGAGCTCCCCCAACGAGCTCTCTCCGTTCTATCCAGACTCTTTGCTAAGGTTCAAAGGCCAGTTTGAAGAAGGTCCAATGTCCAGACATGCGAAGTCAGTGAAACTTAAGTTCCAATTATAGAGGTGCCTATAAGGAAGTGGAAATAAATAGGATAACTCTGATTCCAGCCATAGTTTATTGGCTTAAAGGTCGATGAAACTTTCCCTGTAACTAAAGTCAAGCCAGTAGTTAGCGTTCTAGTTCTATTTTTGTAGACCGGATGGGACCTAACAAACTCTCTACGTTCGTACCTGCAGCTAACAAGTCAGAAGTGTCCCTTGAGTCCGAGTTAGCTGCTCTAGTTCTAGTTCAAGACAGGAAAGTATGGGATCGCTTGCTTATGGCTTTGGAAGCGAGCAACCGACCCGGCAGAAGTAGATCGGAAGTTAGGGAGTCAAAGTCTTACCTTTTTCTTTCAAGTCTTTCTGCCTTACTTTTGGAGGTAGGAGTCTAACCAGCAGTTCCCTCATTCCCCATCTCAAAAGAGTGAAAAGAAAGATCCTGCAGTGAGAAAGCTACTCTTAAGATCGAGATAGCAGGAGGTCTATCAGTGGGCCTTTCTCCCGCACTATTAACGAGCTGGAAACGGCTGCTAATACCCCGTAGGCTGAGGAGCAAAAGGAGGAATCCGCCCGAGGAGGGGCTCGCGTCTGATTAGCTAGTTGGTGAGGCAATAGCTTACCAAGGCGATGATCAGTAGCTGGTCCGAGAGGATGATCAGCCACACTGGGACTGAGACACGGCCCAGACTCCTACGGGAGGCAGCAGTGGGGAATTTTCCGCAATGGGCGAAAGCTTGACGGAGCAATGCCGCGTGGAGGTAGAAGGCCTACGGGTCGTGAACTTCTTTCCCGGAGAAGAAGCAATGACGGTATCCTGGGAATAAGCATTGGCTAACTCGTGCCGCCGGCCGCGGTAATACGGAGGATGCAAGCGTTATCCGGAATGATTGGGCATAAAGCGTCCGTAGGTGGCTTTTTAAGTCCGCCGTCAAATCCCGTGGCTCAACCCCGGACGGGCGATGGAAACCGCAGGTCGGAGTACGGTAGGGGCGAGAGGAATTTTCAGTGGAGCGGTGAAATGTGTAGAGATCGGAAAGAACACCAACGGTGAAAGCACTTTGCCGGGCCGACACTAACACCGAGAGACGAAAGCTAGGGGAGCGAATGGGATTAGATACCCCGGCAGTCCTAGCCGTAAACGATGGATACCGGGCGCCGTACGTATCGACCCGTGCGAGTGTCAGTAGCTAACGCGTTAAGTATCCCGCACCGGGGAGTACGATCGCAAGAATGAAACTCAAAGGAATTGACGGGGCCCACACAAGCGGTGGAGCATGTGGTTTAATTCGATGCAAAGCGAAGAACCTTACCGGGCTCGACATGCCGCGAATCCTCTTGAAAGAGAGGGGTGCCTTCGGAACGCGGACACAGGTGGTGCATGGCCGTCGCCGCCTCGTGCCGTAAGGTGTTGGGTTAAGTCCCGCAACGAGCGCAACCCCTCGTGTTTAGTTGCCACCATCGAGTTTGGAACCCCGAGCGGTATCGCCGTGATAAGCCGGAGGAAGGCGAGGATGACGTCAAGTCATCACGCCCCTTATGCCCCGGGCGACACACATGCTACAATGGCCGGGACAAAGTGGTCGCGATCCCGCGAGGGTGAGCTAACTCCAAAACCCATCCTCGGCTCGGACTGGAGGCCGCAACTCGCCCGCATGAAGCTCGAATCGCTAGTAATCGCCGATCGCCCATACGGCGGTGAATTCGTTCCCGGCCTCGTACATACCGCCCGTCACACTATGGGAGCTAGCCATTCCCGAAGTCGTTACCTTAACCGCGAGGGGGGATGCCGAAGGCAGGCTGGCAGTGACTCGGAGTGAAGTCGTAACAAGGTAGCCATACCGGAAGGTGTGGCCGGATCACCTCCTTTTCGTGGAGAGGTAATGCTTGTTGGGTATTTTGGTTTGACACCGCTTCACACCCAAAAAGAAAGGAGCTACGTATGAGTTAAACTTGTCGACGGAAGTCTTCTTTCGTTTCTCGATGGTGAAGTAAGACCAAGCTCATGAAAAAGAAAGAGATGAAAAATAGAAGGGATAGATACAAAATTACCACCAGTCGTAAGCCGTACTTTTTCTTCAAACGAAACCCATAAAGACGAAACGAAGTATTAAGCCTAAAATGAGTATTGCAAAAAGCACGAGATTTTTACCCGTGGTCATTATAGCGGTTCCTTCGATCCTAGAAAACCTTCGAGAAAGGAGGCTAGGAAACTACCGGAGAGAGCAAAAAAGAAAGATAATAACCGTTGCCTAGTTTTCATCATCATATTATATTAAAGTCAACGCACTTTCTTGTAGAAAGGTATCTAGTTCTCTTTTTTTTCGTCGCTAACCCACTTTTGAGTTCTTCTAGTAATTCTGGTTTGATACTATTTGTAATGATTCTTTCATATTGAGTAATTTCGTCTAGTGGCATTCGATCACGGAATCCATCGACAAGCAAAGATAAATGACTAGAATTTCTTTTTCAATTGGTAGTGGTGTATATCAGTGGTTGTTTTAGTACTTCCGTGAGCCTTGCTCCTCTATCGAGTAATGCTTGAGTCGCGGGATCGGCGTCCGATCCAAATTGAGCAAAGGCGACGACTTCTCGATATTGTGCCAATTCTAGTTTTAAACTTCCGTATACTTTTTTCATAGCTTTTAATCGAGCAACAGACCCGACGCGACTAATAGATAAGCCGACGTTAATAGCAGGTCTAATTCCACGATAAAAGAGTTCTCGTTTCTAAACGAGATTTGTCCATCGATAATGGAAATTACATTTGTAGGAATATAAGCCGATACGTCTCCGACCTGTGTTTCAATGACCGGTAAGGCGGTCATGCTCCCCGCACTCGTCCGGTCCGATCGTTTAATCGCTCTTTCTAAGAGACGTGAATGCAAATAAAAAACATCTCCCGGATAAGCTTCACGACCGCGTGGTCTTCGTAATAGTAAGAGACATTTGTCGATAAGTCGACTGCTCGTTTACTAAGATCATCATAGATTATTAATGCGTGCATTCCATTATCACGGAAATATTCTCCCATGGCACGACCAGAATATGGGGCCGTAAATTGCAGAGGAGCAGGATCCGAAGCGGTGGTCGCTACAAGAATGGAATATTCCAAAGCATTCGCTTCGAAAGAATTTGAACTAATCGTGCCACAGTTGAACGTTTCGTCCAATCGCTACATAGACACAATACAATTTCTCACTCTCGCAGGTTGCCCTCGAGTTCATTTTGCTTTTGATTTAATATGGTATCGATAGCAATAGTCGTTTTTCCAGCTTTTCGGTCCCCAATTATAAGTTCTCGTTGACCACGGCCTATAGTGAACCAAGCTATCTACCGCTTTTAACCCCGTTTGCATAGGCTCGTGCACAGCATTTACGTTCAATAATCCCAGGGGCTTTCACTTCGACACGTCTTCGCTCGTGATCGCTTAGAGCTCCTCTTCCATCAATAGGTACTCCCAAGGCGTCGACCACACGCCCTAGCATAGCCTTTCCCGCAGGAACATTCACAATAGATCCAGTTCGTTTGACAAGATCTCCTTCTTTAATAGCCGTATCACTACCAAAGACAACAATCCCCACATTCTCATTTTCAAGATTCAAGGCTATTCCTTTCACACCGCTGGCAAATTCGACCATTTCACCAGCTTGAATCTCGTTCAATCCATAAACACGTGCAATCCCATCTCCAACCGAAACCACGCGACCAATCTCATCCAACTTCAAATTGGTAGAAAAGTGAGTCATTTTACTTTCTAATAGAGTTGCTAGTTCTGATGCTCTTGAAGAGAATTCCATAATTTAATTAAAAAAAAAATTTTACTTTAAGAAATAAGAATTTCTTTCTTTTTCAGAGTCAAGGAGCAATGCCTCCGCTGATAGATCCCGCCCAGGCTTGTGCGGGTCGGTCTATGCGGACATATCCGGATCAATGCGTTGGAACACCTTCCCTTTCAATTTCTTATAGGAAGGTGATTGCACTCCATTCGTCTGCAGGTCCTCCAATAGGGCATAGAGTTTCCCCACGGACTCCTCCCCCGTGGCGATACGAGGATTATCGAGAGCTCTAGCTCCTCGTCCCATCCAACCTCCCGCTTGGGTCAAGGACCGCCATGAGTTTTATAATCTCAACCTTGACCTCGAATAGGTCTTCGGTGTGAATCCGAGCCATTTGTATGTCCTCGAAAGAGGGATTGGAGTCTTTCGCCAAAAGGCGACGTTCGATGGAGAGAACACAATCCCCCTATCACTTCATCCGGTTGATACGGATAGGGGACCACTCGTTGGGTCCGATTAGCCGGACCAGCCTTCCTCCCCGGGGAAGCGACCGGATCTCCGTAGTTTGGGAGGAGTCGGCCACCTCTCGGGTTTTACCGGTCCAGCTCTAGGTTGAGTAACGGACGTGCCCGTTTCAACGGACGTGCCCGGCACGTGACGAAGATCCCAACAGGATATCGATTTCTCCGGGATCCTCTATCCACGGGGCCGAGTTGACTTGGCCGGAAGGGGCCGGAAGAGGCAGTCCTTGACCTTCCCCCACACAAAAAATTATAAAAGGGAAAAGATCCCCCCAATGAAGACCAAAGCGAGAAAGTAAGTAGATGCGGAGAAAGCACCCAAGAAAAGAGATGATATTTATTATATCAATATATAGAAGTATAAGTCGAAAGCTTGACCCTTTCTTTTTGAAAAAGAAGAAGCAAGACGAAAGATCAAGATTAATAAAAAAATAAAGATTGATAAAAGCACGAGATTTTTAGTAGTGGTCATTATAGCGGTTCCTTCCGATCCTATAAAACATCCAAATGCATTTGCTAGAAAAAGATCGAAAGTACTTGTGATTAAAGAAAGAATATGATTAAGATAGAGTCCGACCGAAATCGGATTTCCTTTGCGTACCATATGCCCTTGCAGTCTTTTTCCCATCTCTCTTCCCGATCCAATGTGTAAGTAATCTACCAGAACTGACAAAAGAAGAGCATTTGACCTTCTTACCTGGTAGAACCTAGTGAAGTACTTCTGAACCTCTTTCTACGCTTTCTTCTCTTATGCAATTTCGAGTTAGAAGTTCACTCCGCTGTTCTCAAGGCATTTCAGAGTAAGCCTACCTTCTTATACACGCGAGGCTAGAAGGGCATAAGAAAGGGTGTGCGAGTGACAGGCTAACTGGGTTCTCTCCAACTACCTATCCAGCAGGGCAGAAGGGAGTGTGGGATTGGGTCTATCCGCTAAAGTAAGAGCTCTTCATCTTGGGCGCAATAAATCACCAAAGAAGGTGGGCAAGTTCACCAGAAAGGTCAAAGTACCATGGCGCACTCGGGCATCTTGGTGCCTTGAGCTGGGAAAACTCCTCAATCGCAATCGCGGGTATGGGATCGATTTCATTTAAGATGCCCTTCTCATTCCGTGAAGGCCTTTCCCACTCTTGACAAAGGGCTTCCATTGGGTGAAAAAGTGTAGTTCTCTTTTAAAGCTCCTTCTCTCTTCTCCTTTTCCTGACTTTCTACTCCGGCTACAGAGCCTTATAAATGCCATGAAGCTTAGCCGAACTACTTGGCTTTGGCTCGGCTCAAAGAAAGAACTGGGTCACTGAGCGAACTCCCTTTTGAGGTAAGAAGAGCTCCTATTTGAACTAACATCGGATACCTGCTTTAAGAAGACTTGCTAAAGGGAGCGATCCTCCTGTCTCTCTTCTGGCTTTGTAAATCCGAGATTGGATTGAGAGAAAAGGTTACCCCTTTTTGAGGAGCTCTTATTAAAGTATCGTCGAGAGATGGGAAATTGATCAAAAGCCCGGCACTGAGACAATTCACTTTGAGTACAGGGAAGCCCGCTGGTAGGAATTCTTCAGGGCGTAGAGATTCTATCTCGAGTTACCGTCGCATCAATAGGAAGCACCGGTTACTAGAGCTTTTTAAGCAAGAGCGTCTGATTGAACAAAAGCCATTCTTGAACAACGGCTATAGCACCAGCTTCCCCCTGATCTGACTAATCTTTCATTTTCTCGGGATTTTTGCTTGCAATCCGATTTCCCTCCTAAGTGAGACTTCAATGGTGACATTGGAGCGTTTTCCCCGTGATTTTGGTATCAAGTCAATTTCCCTTCCTAGACGTCAATTGAAATCGGACAACTTTAGAAAACAGCGTGTTTTTCGTCTAAATGCATTTTCCCTTCCTAAGTGACATAAAAAGAGTGCCACTTTCATGAAACCCCCGTCTTTTTCCTCATAAAGAGGAAAGAGCAAAGAAAACAGAAGATAGCACTGGAGAATCGGCCACCCTAGAAGATAGGTTTGCCAGAAAGACCGATTAGCCAAGAGTGCACCCCCTTGTATTTTCTTTTCGGCAGATCAGCTACGAAACCCTCTTTGTTTCCGGATAGGTCTTTCTTAGGCTTCTTTCTGGTGAATGAGCCGGGTTCTTCAATTCCTCTTTCTCATTAAGAAACTAATCTTCCCTGGTCTAAGGAAACAGGAACAGGATGTGAGGCTTCGCCGATTGAAGAATGTGATTTTTCTTTTTCTATAGCTGAAATGAACCTTCTTTTGAGAGGGAGGACAAGTCCAACATTTCCCTTCCCGCCGAGTAAGTCAATTTGCTTCCTTTGTCTCACGCAGGAAAGCATGAACTCCAGTTAGTCTGATGCGTAGAATCAGCTTCTGAGAATCTTCTTCCGAGAATTGAATATGGAAGAGAGCTCGAGCTCCTTCGTCCTAATCTTTTCGATGTTGTTGACAGAGAGGGTTTGAGGTTTCAATATCCTACTACGAATGAATTGCCTTCTTTGCAAGAGCCTAAATCCTGATATTCCGCAATTTCCAATCCCTGCAGCAGGATGGGATTCCGCACTTGTTGTTCTGTCCTGGCGCTTTCTTTATTAGTAAGATCCGGGGGTAGGATTCTTGAATAGTCTCCATCAGCTCAACCAAGAAAGTGTGTTGTTTTGAGTAGTCATTTAGGTGGTAACAGGAGCAGCGTCAAAGTATACCTTTGAAAGTGAATTGCAAGGGTCAGGCACAAATGCATTACTAAAGAATAACCAACCAGAATAACTGGGAGCGTGGAAAGAAGGATTGGTCCTAGGGCAGGATGCCTGGGAAAACAATCCCAAGGGAAGCTTCTCGCTAGTATTACGAGTGCCGAACGCACTTCCTGATCGGTAGCGGATCAAGCTCTGACGTGGAATCACTTAAGAGAGAGAATGGGCACCACCCCAAGGCATAAAAGGTCTCAAGCAAGCGTTTTCGTTTGCTTTGGTGGGTACGGAGCTTCTCCTTGTCTTGGCCCATGCTTCCCATCCATCGACTCAGGATTTGAATCAAAATCGGATACTCTTTTTTGTGGTTGGATTGAGTTCCGTCGAGATCTTCCACCCCAGTATTAGCATATCGCCCTTCTCAAAGCCATCGGATTGGGATTAGCTAGTAGAATGGTTCCATAGTCCTGTCATTCATTGATCCTGGCTGGGTCTATAGATAGAGCAAAGGAAGAAGTCGCAACAAAGAGCAGCTTGACTGCAGCTCCACGGTCTGTAGATCTGATAGTTGCCTTTCTTTTTGGTTTGAGGAAAAAAAATCAGAAAGATTAGAGGCTGCCTTAGATTGCCCGTAAAGCATGCCACTAGTGGTTTACCATGAAGGGGCTTCAAGGTTCCTATCTTGGAGAGTCCGAGACCTTCTCCTAGGCACTTCTCGGAGGCAACTGGACTCTCTTTGATGACCTCTTCACAGAAAATGGAGAGATTCATTGGATCCTAGGTCGGGACTGACGGGGCTCGAACCCGCAGCTTCCGCCTTGACAGGGCGGTGCTCTGACCGATTGAACTACAATCCCAGGAAAATTAGGCGCCTAAAAATTCTTATATTCTTTTTTCTCATTGGATTTCATTCGAACTATTGAGTTTCGCCGTGTTGTAACAGAGACACGAATGATATTATATATTTATATAATTTATTATAAATTAAAAAAAAATGCAGTGAACTCTAGTGGGCTAATTCATGAATTGAATCATGACGACTATATAAGCTATTCTGATATTAAGATTCGATATAGATGAAATCGTGGAAGCGGATCTTTGATTTCCTTTTTCCACGTAAGAATTCGTCGTCCGATTGAATCTTCTTGTTCCTGGATGCTCCATAGGAATCCATCGCTATTCCTTTCCTCCATCGAGAAAGGTTCATTTCGAATCACAAGAGCAATCTCTCTTTTTTGAATTCATTTTTCTTTTCGTTATGGTAATGCAATGCAAGAGGTCGGAAATCAAGTTGTTTCTGATGATGAAAAGAGCTTTTTTATGTTATGTGAAATTGATGAAACCCCGATATTTAAAGGTCGGTTTTGTTAGAAGACGACTGTCGGTATCTGATGGTAAGATACCTATGGTCGGTATATCTTTGAAAGCTCAGACGGGGAGAATAAACTGACTCCTCGAGGGCTACTTAAGGCACTTTAGTGCAAACCAGAAGGACTGGAGTTGTTGGATGTTGCTCAGTGCTGCTATAACTTAACAACCAAAAAGCTCTGCCTCGAACTTCAGCCCCTTCGAGTTGGTCATGGGGCAACAGCCTCTGACGCCCCACACCATTGCGAAAAGAGGGGGCTTGCCCATCAGCCTACTTTGCCAAGAGGTGGCAGGATCGCAAGGACCTAGCCCAAACCTTACTCTTTATCCGGTTCCTCTTGTCCAGAGAATACCCTTGTGGAATACCCTTCGACTTACCTAGATTTTAGAAAGATCGAAAAGTCTTCCCCAGAAAGCTCAAACGATCTACTCTAATGGTTACGAGCCAAGTCGAGGTGCTTTACGCTTCCTTTCAAGAATACCTTTTCGCATTCGATAAGTGTCCTTGTCTAAGTGGGGTAGGAAAGGCAAGTTACCCCCTCAATCTCCCTCGGGGGAGAGGTAAGAAGCCTCGGACACCATTAGCCTTTCTTGGTACTCTTTCTTCACTTCAAGACATCCAAAGAAGTTTCTCGGCTAATCTAATAAGCCATTAAAGCCCCTCAGAACTCTTCTTCTTATCAGCGCGACGGCTGAAAGAAAGATTGTGCATCGGCCACCAAACATCCAGGGCAACAGGTATTCTTTCACCTGCCAGGCAAGCCATCTATATTGGATTGGCATAACCTTATTATATGCCATCTAGCTTCATAGCCGGTAGTTTCCGTTGATCGTTATCTTCATCCATCGGACCTTTTTGTCTTCTTTTCTTCAATGACTGCTTCTTCTTATGCTTGCCCTCGTTCTTCCCTCTTCTCCTTGACTATGAGATTATTCCCGGCTGATTGGGAAAAGGGGGCAGTTACTCTTGAGCCAAGAATTGGGCGTAGATTAAAAACCAGGGTCTACCCTTGGGAATGATAGAACTTCATTAGAATGCCTGGAAGCAGCCAATCTGATTCTTTATCACTCAACTGAGGAAGTGAAACGAGCAGAACTTCCCCTAGGAATAGGGATTTCTCATTCAATGAGACTAGTCCTTGTTTGGAAAGAGTCTTCGATGAAGAAGACTCAGGGAATCAATCCGCAAACTCCTAGAAAAAGAACTCTCTGAAAAGTCTACCTAAATAGTGAAGAAAAGAACACATCGAGGTAGGTAATGAAATGAAAATAGGAGCGGAAGCCGAAAGGCTAGAGAAAAGAGAGGCTCTTCCGTCTGTTGTCATAAGTCTTGTTGACTCAGCCGGGAGTGAAAGAGATTCTGATTCAAGTTCTCTATAGTCAGTATCCGTAGCTAGGACTGGTAGTGAAATTCAAAGGATCGCTGCCAAAGGAGGGATGATAGCAGCCCGCTGTAAGCCGGAAGTGACCTCGGGAGGAGTAAGTAGGAGGGGCGTCGGAATTCTAGTTGCCCCTCATCCCATGACGAAATGTAGAGATCATTTCTTTGTCGGACGAAATCGATTCGACCGGCTGCTTTTTTCTTTCTCTTTATCCTTGGGCTGGAGCTTCCTTCGCCTTCGTCTTCAGTTCTGTATTTCAAACAAAGCAAAGTTAAGGCAAGAAAAAAAGAATAAAATACGAATGGATTGCATTCGATAATAAGTATACCAATAAAAATTCTAAAGAGAACCTGAACTGGCCTCCCGAAAGTTGGCTCAAGAGAGTTCTTTACGGCCCTATCATACATAGGCATATCTCTTCCTCTACTTTTTTTTGAGAATGGCGGTATCACCGTCTACAGGTCGAGTCACCCCCTTCGCTAGCTCTGAAACAAAGGAGGCAGATACGTGAATGAAGTGAGATCTTGGAACAAGGGCAGTGGGCGTAGGGTTTGATCTTTCGCACCGAAAGGACCCGGTCAAGAGCCCCCATTTAAGGAGCGCGCGGGACTCCATTTTTAATTCTAAGGTAAGCCATTCCCGAGGAAGACTTCGTGCAGTATGGAAGCTGCTACGTGGAAAAGGTCCATAGGTAAGAGAAAGAAGGCTCTTCCTCTCCCAACAATGGAAAGCAATGAGAGAAAGGGCTTGACGGTACCAAAATCTGGGATTTGTTGCTGCACATGAGACCGCCATTCAGCAAAGCATGGGAAATGGACTGCATTTGGCACATAACTGAAACCGCCGGCGCGCCATACGGCCTGGAAATATGGTAAAAGGAATAGAAGGGGTTCCACTGATTCTTCCTCATGATCACAAAGCAAACATCAAGAGGAGGGCGTCCTTCGGAATAGATTCATCTGTGTTGCCAAAGCATGACGACATGCCCTCCATATCAAGTTTCTAATCTTGGGATGAGCTTTTCCAGCCCGCTTCCAAAGCCCACTATCCTGACTACCCAAATGAGATGATTGAGGCTGGTCTGCATCTTGAACTTCTTTGGCTACCGCATACCCCGACTTCACCGTGTAATTTCCATTTTAAGTCAACCCCCAAATCCATTCATCAGGTCAGGAAGCCAGAGCAGCTCCATTTCAAAAAAGCAAGATGAGCCGGGGGATAAAGTGCCATCCCATTCACAGGAATGAAGCATCCGGAGCTTAGAGACAAATCGATGTTTTTCTTCAATCCTTTGGTTTCCAGCTTCAAGCAAAGTGGCCGTACCAACCAACGACGAAGGTCAAGTCGCTTTCCCAACCGGACAACTTCTGGGGAATATAATTTCTTTCGCACCCCCTCTTATATGCGGTCCTAACCTTGCTACTCTTACTTCCACTAGCAAGAGAACTTCTGCTCGTAACATACCCCTTATGATATGATCTTACTTCTTGAAGCGAGCTACTTTAACTGCCAAAAGAGCGGAGCAACTCGAGTTAGACGAGAGGCGGGGATGTAATTTCAAAGAGGCTCGACCGGACCCAAGAACCGGACAGAAGACAGGCCCCACTGTGATACCTCGTGCAAGTTCTAGTTAATGACCTGAAAGAGGTCACTAGCTTCTTGCTATCGAGCGTGCCTTAGTTTAGAAGGAAGCTTTGGGCAGGGCCTATGTAGAACGGGCCACTTTCATTGTCGAAGACACCTTTTTCATACCCTTTTTCGTCCATTGGAGCTATTGAACTAGACTGGAGTAGGGAACTTCCTAAAGCATGCGAGACTTCCAAGGTTTGGATGTTTATTTCAAGCTGGATGAAAGTGGACCACTGATAGAAAGATCTTATAAAACGTCTGAACCGCCTTATTAATTTTTAGGGTTTTAGTATCCGCCCTTACTCTATCTTTGAAGTGGCTATCGAACCTTTCCATGGGGAACAGGGGCTTTCTGCCTGGCTTGCTCGCTGATGCTTGTAAATACTTTCTTCCGGCTTTGGGAAGAGGCTATCGGCACTGGCCGCGTACAAAGAACTCGTTGAAACCTCGCTACTGGATTGAGCAAGAGGCAAGAAACTTGAGCCTCCTTCTTGTCCTTCCTTCCCTGTGGTTGACTGGTTTTTCTTCCCATACTTCAGGAGGAGGAGGTCGCCGGGTTCAACTTCCACTGGTGATGGCGATTCCTTCTTGAAAACAGTATATTCAGTTTTTTATAAAATAATAAAATAATAACATCGAATCAATTCCTATTCGAAAAGAGGATTTCATCATACCTGGCTTTCCTAACCTTACAACTGAGACTTTATCAGGAAATAGGGAACTTGTTTTTGGAACTGCCTTTGATCTTAGGCTCGCAGCTACTAGGTGCGCACCCTTGAAACTAGCCCTCTTTTGGGGCACAGGGATTGAAAGACGGCTTTCGGAATAGGCTTTTTGGTACTAGCTTGAGGAAGAGAAGGGATTGACTATTCATATATAAATAAGTAATTAAGTTAAGTAATGGCTTGTGCTAAAGGAACTGACAGATGCCACGATCTTTAGTATTCCTGCTATCCCAAAGAGCGGGGAAGGCTAGAAGGAAGGGAGCGGGGTTCATTTGCAAAAGTTGGAGAATCCAACCTCCTGCTGCTGTCTGAACTGACACCTCTGCTTCAATACATAAGCTCCAGCTGAAGTGTAGCAGCTCCGTCCCATTCATCACTGCTTTCTGTTAATAAGAACCTCTTCTCGAAAAACCCGACGTGCTGGGCTCTCTCTCCATCCCTTGGTGGCATCCAAACTGGCCTGTTGGTCAGGTATTTCTTAATTTCATCGCCCAGCCTTAATTGTCCTAACTGAAACCAGACTCTATGGAGTAACTGCTGATATGGCCATTGCCGAACTTAGCTATCCTAAAATTTGAAAGTAGATGCGATTGGCTTATCAGGTGGTATTTGGCTGCTTTGGAATGATCAGGAGGGGATGGTGGAAGAGAGTCATTGGAAGCTTGAAGACGCTCGACTCTTAATTCTCAGGTGAACATTGAACGAGGCAATGTAATGGTCTATTCATCCCCCAGCAGTTCCTTTCCCATTCAACATTCATTCAAAGTATTCTCCCGCTTCAACCAGCTGCTTTGCGGACTGCTCTTGCTGCTGCTTCCTATGCTTCCTGCTTCTGACTACTTGCCTTTCCCTCACCGTCACTGCCTTCCCGCTTGATATCCCGTTTTCCTTATCTCGTGCAATTAAAGGGAACGAGACTGGAAAGCCCAAACTGAGCCCGGCGGGGGAATGCTTACCGATACCGAAGCCGTTCCGCTCGTCCCTCTTTCGTGCAGTGCACTTTGTTGATGATTGCAGGCATACTCGCTGAACATTCCCTTCGAGGAGAGCGAGAGAAGGCCTGCTTTCTCTTTATAGTTCAAAGTCTTTTTTTGTCTATCCCCTTTCAGATATAAGCACCATGCTTTTACCGTGCTTGTGCGTGGGATTTAGCCTCGACTGGGCTTCTCATCCTGAATTATTAAATATATATTCTATTATCAGTGGTGTTTCCTCATCTTCTTCGATTGTTGACGGACTGCGCGAACATCATTTAGTTTGGCAACATCTTTCGGTTACACTTACCAATGCTTTCGAAGAAATCTGTAATGTGGAATTAGAAGGGGTAGAAAGCGCTGTTCAGCAGGTGGAGACAAGAAAGATGATTAGGGAAGAATGTGACGATGGAGAGCAGTTGATATTGAGTCGACTACCTGAGTTAAAAGCTTCTAAATCCTTGTCCTTCTTAGTTGGGAGTTTCTTTCTTGCTGTCTTCTTGTTAAGTTCTTCCAGTCATTCCTTAGTCGGTTAGCCTGAAAAGAAAGTCAGGATCGAGGGTGGAATAAGCGAGGGGGCGGTCCCCTACTCAAATTAAAGAAAGGAAAAGAGTCGAGACCAGGGATATCAGTTTATGCTAATTCAAACCAGACCCTTCAGTGGATCTTGAATTGAGTTAAAGGAGATGCCTTCCTTCAGGGCCTGCCCTTGTAATACCTCCTTTTGATTGAGCCTGAGGTAGAGCCTGCCTGAGTCACTTAAAGATCTTAGGCGCTTTCGTGTGAATTGAATGATCTTCTTAAAGTTCAAAGGAGATGGTACTCAACGAAAGGATCGGAGTTTCGCTCAAAACTCTTCTTTCTTGGGTTCGTTACTCATCTGGTTTTCTCCGGCTGTTCGGGAAATGCACTCATCCAGATGAGGGAGTCTTTCTTAAATTCTTGAGATCGGGATCATAATAAGGAAAAAGATCCGGATCTTATTTTGTGGAAATGGTATATCCGGGATCGAAGTGACAAGGACTGATATCGACCAAGACTAGGACTGAGGGTTACGTAATAGAAAGCATAAAGGAAATCGCCCTGAAAAGTATGGCAATGATATAAAGGTCCTAGGTGAATGGTCTAGACAGCAAAGCGCATTCACTCAAGGAAGAAGGAAATTTTGTATTACACGACTAATACAGTCTGCAATGGGAACCTCAAACCTAAAGAGCTTGCCAGGATGGATGGCTTGGTAAGCAAGCAACCAGATTCCCTCGCTCAATCACACCGTAGTTGGATTTCCTTCGGGCAGAATCGAAGATTGGAAAGATTGCAACGAGGTACACTAACTCCAGGAAGAATGGAAGGAATGCCCCTTCGGAGATTAAGCCTTTCTATTCTTTATAGCACTATATCTGCCCCTCTTCTCATGTTCTACCAGGTATAGAAAGCGTTGGCGAGATATCTATCAACTTTCTTTCGTCCAAGAATTTACATTGCCTCCTTACGGCGAGGTGAAATGAAGCCTCGACAGTTTTCTATTCCTCCCGATGCCTTTTTTTAGGGTATGAAGATGAAGGACTTCTTGGATTGGAATGGTCTCTCTTTAGGGTATGGGTGAAAGACTGGCTAAAAAGTAATGTAAGTGGTACTCTCAGTCCTGATGTAAGCATCCAACAGTTTTTCTTGGCACCAATCCTATGTCGATCTTGGAAGTCCATCCGAACTGATAAACAATTCGTTAGGTTTGGCCTTAAAGGGAAGGTGTATGATATGGTCGCTGTGAAAGCACTTGATGAAGGTTCGGGACTTACTCTTTCGTTCCTTATAATAGAAGTCACAAGGTGATGAAATCCTTCTTACTTATTCTTATATTAAGAAATTTTTTTTTCTCGATGCACTATAATAGTTAGCCACTCAGTCCACGTAGATGCTGAGATAGAAAGCTTTTACTTAGCCCTCGCGCTGTGAACCATTCTCACTCGCCGACATGGAGCCATGCGCATGATTCCAGTTGTCCTCACCCAAGCAGTCTTCTTCCTCATTGGATTGAACGTCCCCCCGAATCAGTCTCTTTAAGAAGCTTCAACATGGCGAAAGAAAGGATCTATTTCATTCATTAGTATCCCGTAGATTTCTATCTTCTGAATTGAGAGCCCCGAGACTTTGATCAATATGAATGAGGAGCAGCCTCTCAATAGTGAATAAGGCTTCCAGAGGAGTTTTTAATTCAGGGAGTAGAGCTTCTTTCAAGGTATTTTTGAACCGTTTGAAGAAAACAAGTATAGTGTTAAGCGTCCTTTCTTTCTTGAATAAGACCATAAGGGATGCAGCTCTTTCTAACTACAGAAAATCACTCTTTTCTTTCTCAAACATGGCGCAAAAGGGGCCCGGTAGCTGCCTGAGTTATTATTCCCTTCCACGATGCTCGATTCCGAATCAAGCGAAGCGATATATTAATCAAACCAGTAAGCGTCAGTAAGGGACGTCTTCTTTCTTCGGCATCTACCCGTAAGAAAAGAAAAGCAATCAGTTGTCGGCGAGATCAAAAAGAAGGCATTCAAAGAGGCAGGAGCCTCCCCACCTCTTCGGGTGGGTCTCTTCTCGGCAGTCAGGGTTTTATCCTTTGACCAACCGGTTCAATTAGTCATTTAGTCAGCCCTCGCCAGTCACACTGAAGTTACGACCAAGCTTAGCGAGGCCTTGCCTAGCTCAGCGAAGGTTCTCGAGTTCGGGCGCATCTCGTACTCTCGTGAAAAGCCTGAAGTGATCCCCATCTCAGCAGATTACCTTTCCTACCCCTCCATTTTACTATCCCATTGATTTCGATGCTTATGGCAACACGATCAATCATTCGTCAGCGGGCAGCCCCAGAAATTAGTTGAATCCAAGATTCAATTCCTGTGTCTCTTCCATCCCCTTTATCCTATGGGTCGATCTATTTATTGATAATGTTGAAGAATCGATGAAAGGACCTTTGTTCCTTCCCTTTTCTTGACAAAGAGAGCGTAGTCGGCCTTCCTACGCTGACGAATGCCTCTTTGGTTCAGGAACGAACCCACATTTCATTTCCTTCGGGGAAGTTCCGATTCAGCCCCATGATGAGTAGGTGGGGGATAGCCCCAAAGACCTTGTAGTAGGGGGAACGCCCCTCGACGACGCTCACCCCCCATCAAAGTGATGGAAGCTACGCAGTGTTGGAGACAACGTATTCACGTAAGTTTTCTTTTTCCATATCACTAATGGCCTTCGACCGGCGGGTAGGGGAGTTCCCGCTGCGGTGCTGTTCCCGGCCTGGCCCTGTCCTTCCTATCTCGCTTGTACCTTCAATCAAAATAATCGAGGAATAGATATGGCTGGCAGGTGCGGTAGACCGAACACCTTCTGAATCAGCGTGGAGGTGACATGAAGCTCCTTGCCCATTGAGTGAAAGCATCCATCCCAGTAAGAAAGAATCTCCGACCCCACAACCTGCGGGAACTTCCACCGGCCCCAGGCGGCTACTGATCTTTCGGAGCCTAAGAGTGGGCTCCATTACCTTTTCGCAATCTTCAGCTTGCCTTTATGGTTTGCTTGAAGCAAGAACAATTGATGAGTGAGCAGTGGAACCAATCTCCAATCCCGAGGCGAAACAACCAACCGGTCTTTTGAGCAGAAAAAAAAGACGATGCTTGCAGGTCGGGCTCCCAGAGCAGCTTGCTCGGTCTTTTGTTTGATCTTCGTGCAACAGGAGTACTTAGTATAGGGACGGACCCGAACAGGAAGATAGTCGATCACACAGAGTCGTAGAATCACTGAACGAGTCTTCGTGTGACGAAGTCGGATCGAAAGTGACATAATATACCTCCTCCGAACCCTCAACAAGAGAACGTGTGTGTTCCCAGTAGGGATTCTAACGGAGGAGTTTGAACGGGCTTTTGGAAGAGCGCTCCGCTTCTTTTTTTCCTATCTAGTCTAGAACCCCCTAGTCGTGAGAAAGAGCCGCTCTACCCCCCTCATTCATGATTCATGTGAGGAAAGAAATAGGCGATCTCGCCAGCATGAACCGTCCAATTTTCACCTCCCCTGGACGAACAATCGACAAGCCAGACTTTTCAATGCAAAAAAATTATTTGACGCCGGAGGAGAATACATGTCCACGGAATTCTCTCAATATCTTATTTCCAGAGGCACTGTTCATCAGAGATCTTGTGCGTATACTTCTGGAAATAGCTGAGAGGAAAAATAGAGACTCAGAGAAAGATCAGAAGCGAAATTCGGCAAGGAGAGAACCCAGGCCTATTGTAGTGTAGCACCTGGGGCCGCACGACTCAGGTCTTAAAGAGCCTGTGCGCGTGTCTATTTCGCTTTAGGAGGTATCAGAGCGGTCCCTTTCGATTTCTGCTAATTCTCTTTCTTCTTGCACAGTTGCCTTTTCTTTTCAAAAGAGTTGTCCCCTGTCTGTATCAGTATCAGTCGTCTCTATGGCAATCTTTATTTAAGCAGAAAGCGTGTTCAAGCTCTCTGATTAAGGTACTAGGGGCTCACTAAACTATCGAGAAATGGCTTTCGGCCTAGGATCTCTTGAAAGTGCTTTTGCTTTCCGATACCACAGTCCGGGCATTCAATCTGCTTCTTTCTTTCCGACATCTGAGATTCATTTTGAAAGCAATGGCAGATCTTCCTCAATAGGAACTGAACGCTGGCATGAGGAAAGCTTTGCTACTTCTCAGTGCATGAGGAATGAAAAGCGGAAAGAGCTTATTCGTAAAAAGAAAAGAATGGAGTTCTTTGGACTCTCCCAAGAGCTTATGAGTGCACAAGAGCTGATATGCCAACAGCTGATTCAATAGCTGTGGAAGCAGAGCAACCTTCATTCAAAAGAGTAATTAATGGCGGATTCGCTCTCAAATCGTCCTTCTCATCTGCCAAATCATCGTCCGCATCTAATCAATCCCCAATCGTCTGGTATCCCTTTTCTCTTTCTGCAAGAAATCGTCCTCATCGAATTGTCCGCATGCGAATCCTTATCCTGATCTGAGATTGCCTGCTATTCCTAACAGAGGCGATGAATATCGTGACTATTGGGATAACATATGAATATGCCTCTCTCAATGTATTCCATTACACCCCGAAAAGTCCTTACTACATGCAGCAGTACGGCGGGCATTAAAACACGAGTTTCAGCGGTCTCTGCTAGAACCCTATTTGAGATAGTTTCAAAGGGGCGTAGCGCTTGCTTACTCGAAAATGGCAGAGGCGCCGAGAAGACTTCGGCTTCGCGAGCTGCAACCGACTTTCTCGTCCGGGCCGTGAACCATTGGCTGTTGTATACTCAGCTCCTGTTGCAGCTGCTACTGCTCTTTTCTTCTTACTACTGCGCGGTTTTCCTTCCGTCTTTTTATTCTAAGGAGAACTAAGAATCCGCCTTATGACTAAGCTTACCTTATAAGAGAAGTGGGAGAAGTCGTATAAGGGCGATTTCCTTCTTTCGTTAAATGTCTAACTCCTCACCCCAAGTAAGGAATTCTTTCTCGCTTCGCACCTTTTTGCACTTTCGGTATTTCCTTTCTTTTTGAAACCCTTTCCCTCTCCCTGTAACCCCACGAGGATCTATCTGACGTTGATCTACGCCCGTTACTAAGCAGCATCTCCGGTAAGTGGTCATATAAAATACTTATTCACACGGCGCTCAGCTTGCCTTTTCGCTGCTCTCACGAGGGTCGATTGAAAGCTACTTGCGCCTAGTCGGTTAGGTTCAGTTGCGCCCGCTGCTCACCTTTGAAATAGAGTTGAGCTGCTAGAAGCTGGAAATCGAAGACTTGAAGATTCCTTTCCCGCCCAAGGAGTGAAGTTGAGACCTCAGAGTCTATGATGATTTTTTTCTTTTCTTTCTGATCTTCTTCTTTTTTCTACTTTCTTTGTTACTTGGTTGGGGAAACAGGGCTGGCAGAAAGAAGATTTCCCCGACGAGATTCTTGACTCGCTAAGAAAGTATACTATGGCTATCCGTTCCTTTCTTTCCTTGCTTGTGACCTGCTTTCCTAGTAGGAATTCTTCTGTCTACAGACTATTCTCGCTACTACAGAAATATCTTAAGTGAAGTGCGATCGTAGTTCCGATTAGATTCGATTAGACGGTATGTCAGTTGTGCGGCATAGAAGTGCTTCGAAGCAAGCAGAGATTTTTGTATTGTGGTATTAGGTTGGTGTGCAGTGTACGCACAGAATAGAGTCAAAAGCGTTGGGTTTAGGACCAAGGACGATGAAGGAGGAGGAGTCAGTCTTCTTTGAAGATCGAGGAGGATCGGACAATTATGCCATTCGGAAGAAGTCTTCTACAGAGAGAAAGCCTGTATCGAGTAAGTGGAGAGGAAAGATCTCCAGAGATTCTTATCTTATTCCATTCCAGTGGCTTGACCAGTAACCAATGGCGAAAACTCAAAAATCTATGGTTTCCCGGTAGAACCCCATTTCGCCCAAGTTGTTTCGGAACCGGAAAAAAGAAACGGTTTTTCGCACAGCTTGCTCATAGTGCAGGTCCCACTTGTATATTGTATTTGGCCGAAGAAGCATCGGATAGGTTGGAGTTCTTACCTTCTTGGGACTCCATGGACCAAGATCTGCTTTTATTATATGGGCAATATCGATCTACTTTAGTACATCATATGGATGTAGAAAAAGCTTCTGATTTTGATGAATTGGAAACATCTCTTTTCCATTTCTATTTACCTAGTTCATATCTTTCTTTCGTGTGTTCCGGGGAGTAATTCGATCTCTTCAATCTCGGGATACCACCTAAATAACTGCGGCCAGAGAGTCAAATAGGTCGGGAAGAAAGAGTCTGAGGTTGGGTTGGACGACATACATCTGTTAGTTCCCCTGTGGCAGGATAATGGAATGTGACACACGATGGATTGTCTTTTTTGAGCAAGTGGAGCTGGTGCAAATGGGGCCCCATTCAAAGTCTGTAATCGTAGGGGGCAGCTGAGGCTGGTGCCGAGAGGACCAACCGACTAGTCAACCGCGAATCGTGCCATTTGCTTAACACAACTCTTTCGATCATCGATTCCGACTCCACACTCCTCCCACTTATCTCCGCCAAAGAGGAGGTGACAAACATCGAGTCCGAACCGCCTAACGACTCTCTCGCCTTAAAACTTCCAAACTATCGGGGCTCGACAAGTTCTCCCCTCTCGCTCCGAGAAGCTTCGTAGTTTCAACAAATCTTATCCCAGAATACAATACACATCATAAAATAAGTGGTATAAGACCAAATTTCAAGATTCTTCAAGTTCTCTATGCAGTGTCGCATCGTTGCAAGAGACGTTGAAGAAAAGATCGTACGTAGCAACAAAGAACCTAAATGAAACCAAAGCAGCCAGGCTAACGAAGCTCCAAAGCAAGAAGAAAACAATAAGCTCTGAAACATCAGTGCTACGAATGTAACGCAAGATACGAAGAAGAGCAGCCCAATGAGTAGTTCGAGGAGCAGAAACAAACTGACTGACAACATGCACTGCATAAGCAATATCGGGACGAGTAACAGTCCGATAAACCAACCAACTCACGATACAAGGTAGGATCACCCAGAGGAACACCATCAGAAGTTGAATGTTAAACTTTCAACTCAATAGGAGTGGCACGTAGTATCAGTCAACCCAGCACGGTGAATAACCTCATTCGCATACTTGGATTGGGAGAGAAGAAACCAAAGGGGAGAGGAGGCAACTTCAATGCCCAAGAAGTCGCGAAGGGGGCCCAAATCCTTCATTTCAAACTCATGCAAAAGATGGTGTTTGACTTCCATTATACCTGCAGTGTCAGGACCTGTGATAATCATATCATCTACATACAACAAAAGAAGAACCGGTCCACTAGAAGAGTGACGCACAAAAAGAGCAGAATCATGTGCACTAGAAGAAAACCCAATCCTGGTTACTGCAGACTGATAACGTTCATACCAGGCACGAGGAGACTCGCCCATAAAGAGCCCGACGTAAGTGACAAACATGGCCAGATGGGTGAGGAAGCCCAGGAGGAGGACGCATATACACTTCTTCAGTCAGATGCCCATTCAAGAAGGCATTTTTCACATCCATTTGAAACAAAGGCCACTGACGAACAGCTGCAACAGAAATTAAGGTACGAACAGTGGTTATCTTGGCAACAGGAGCAAACGTCTCCTCATAGTCAATACCATACTCCTGAGAAAAATCCTTAGCAACCAACCGCGCTCGCTCAAGAGAACCATCAGAATTGGTTTTAACCTTGACCATTTGCAACCAATAGCATTTTTACCTTTAGGCAAGGGAACAAAATCCCGGGTACCAGTCTTATGAAGAGCAGTCAACTCATCTTGCATTGCAGTTATCCAACTAGAATCAGTACATGCTTCCTTATATGACTGAGTCTCATAAAAGGAGTGAATAGAAGCAAGAAAAGTACGATGAGAAGGAGGAAGGAGCAAAGAGAAAGAAGGCATAGCATAATCAGCAAAGAGCTGCAAAAGCTGTACAAGTGGTCTCAGTCTTCGTCGATGTAGTACAATCAGTTGTTCTTGTAGATCGAGGCTAAGGGCTGATAGGTGTGTCACCTTCCCCTACCCGTCTTTCTAGGCGCAGGCTTCGCGAAATTCCGCTATTCTTTGACTCCCTCCGCTAGTTGTCCGTCCCTCTTGGAAGCTTTCCGGGCTTTCCATTAGCTTTCGAAGCTGTCCTACCAGCATTCCAAGCCGCCTAAGCAGCCTAATCCAAGTCATCCTAGTAGGCCCAATGAGTAATCCCTTGAGTCAGCGCAAAATCCTTTCTTTCTTTGTTCTAGCGCCCGAGCCTTCTTTTTCTTTCTTCCGGTTGGGGAAATGGCTCATTATTATTGATGTGTCAGGTGTCAAACCCTTTTCTTATTCTTTTAGTTCTTGTAGCTGCTTTACCTGTGTGGGACCATCGCCTAGTGTCTTTGCCTATGGTTGATTGGTCTAAGGTTTAAAGTACGAGTATAAGGTCTGTCCCCATGCGCCTATCATCTTAGTCAGCGGCAGTGCCTTTCCTCACGTTCTTTGTTATAGTTCCCCGGTTCGCTCCTGCCCACGGAGCAAGGAATGAGTTTTGTGTTCGAATCAGAGTCAGGTAAGGGCATCGGATCGAGTTTATCTTCTTGCCGGCCTAGCGCCATCGGCTTTTGCTCGACTTCTTGTAATTGTAAAGAGCCGACCCAAGCAACAAGTGGCATAGCAGATCTATCTTCGCTTCATTCATCCCAAATTCTTGCCGCATCAGCAGCTCGTCAGCTAAGGATCACGTTTTCAGTTTCTACACGTATTTTAGCGTGCCGCTATTCAAGAAGCCTGGAGAGGGCTCAACAAAGGGCCTGATCAACCAAAGACTAAGGAAGAGGCGGTAGATCGAAGGAAGGGCCAATAGAGAAGAAAGAATGTTGAAATGAGAGTTGCATTTAGTAGTGCCGGCGCCTCATCCAAATGAGACTTGGAAAGCGAGATAGGGCTGGGAGGCAGGAAGAAGACTACACGAGTGGTGGTTCGGGAAGGAATCTCTTTGACTTTATGGTGCCATAGCTTCGACTCCATCCCAGTAATAGTAAGAGGAGGGAGCCGCTACTTCATCCTCGGGAGATCGGGATGAGGCAAAAGGGGGCTTTATTAAAGTCCTCTGGGTCGTCCACTAAGTGAGTGAAAGAGGTATGTATCATTGGGAGAATTTTGAAGAGAGAAGGCCCCACTATGTGAAAGAAGAGCTTTTTCTCTCATATTCACTTCTATAGAACATATAGAAGAAGTTCGCTTAGCCGCAGCTGAAGCCATAGATCTTGCCCGGTCCCAAGGTTCATCGGTCGGACTCCTCATTGGAAAAAGAATGGCAAAGGGTGGGATCAGGGAAAAGCTGTTTAAAAAAGAGCGCTTATAAGACAGATATCACGCCATAGGAAAGACATTCTGGCTTTTTGACTTGACTGACTTCTATTCCCTAGCCTTAACGCTGCCATAACCTTTCCCTTAGCTGCCACAAGACGTTCAAGCACTGCGAGTCGTGCTTCTAGCGAGTAAGCACTCCTCTATAAATTAGATGGACTGCACCCACATAGGGAGTCTTACTCGCCGATCGAATTATCTGAGAAGACCAATCTTGAAGCTATTTCCCACAGGAAAGGAAGTTCTCGACTGAAACATGTGTGAACCGTAAACCGATCCCTCTTGATAGACCTACTTACGTCACTCGAGCTTATCTCTGTTTCCGGTTGAGCAAGACAATCCCTTGAAAAGGCGCCCTTTCATTTTTGATAACTCCAGTACTGGGAGAGACTAGCGTAGAGTACTATATTAATAAAATCATTTACGCCTACGCTGGATATTCTTCATTGATCCAGATGTTCGAAAAGTGGCTCCGGCTGATCCTACCCTGTGAGCTAAGGATCTGTACCACTGCTTTTGTCTTGTCTTACCTCGAGTTAAAGCTCTAAAGTTCCACACGGTTCGGATCCACGGGCATAAGCGAAAGAAATAAAAGACCTAGACTAATGGCTCGATAAGCACAACAAAGATCTATCTCTAACCAGCTAGGAGAACTTCCATAAGTTAACACCGAGTGGGTGGGACTTCCAACGTTCGAAAACGAAGGCTAAGAACCTTATTTTGACTTTTATTTTTCTCTATGGGCCGACCTACGCCCAGGTGAAACAAAAGCAGATATATATAGTTTTGAGCACCTAAGGGACACCCAAAAACAAATTAGGCAAATAAAAGGAAGGCCCAATACAGACTCAGACTTCGAGGCGAGTTTCTCTCGGATTTCAACTGAATTCAATGACTGCTCTAGAGCCACCCCATTCTTTACGACTCATATTATCAATCAGTAAGCTATAGGCCGGAAAATCAATGGCAATAGCCTTCCCTCAATGCCAATTTCTGAACCTTTAGGCGAACCAGTGAGTCGAGAGAGACTATAGGCCAACCATACGAGTAGGAGAACCAGTGGAGAAAAGTTTAAAACATCGCTACTCTAAAGACTTCCAAGCCAGCTCCTAATCCTAAGCGCAGCGAACCTAAGAGATCCAATTTCGGCCGATAGGCGCCCACGCAGAGTTTCATTGCGAAATAAAATACAATACGTATATAAGACAAGACTGACTGGATACTTTAAGTGTGGGGCGATAGCAAGACAGAGGTGATGGCTATTCACAAGATTAGCAATTGAAATAGGACTGGGGTCCACACTCAACCCTCTCACTCGGAACCGCTTAGCAAACTCGGCTGAGCCGGAATGAAGCGACTTTTTTGCTGAGATCGTGACTCCTAACTTTAGGAGTACCTGCTCGTACACTTGGGATACACACGTATCAGCGATGAGAACATCATCACCGAGTACTGCATATCTTGTGAAGCGAACTCCAGGGTGCTCTGCAAACCACCCAATCCGAAAATGATGTGTGAGAGCAAAGACGGGCCAAGAGGCATGGTAACCCAGAGCAGAGGTTGTCCGACGGCGAATTGAACCTTTTTTTGTTTTTAGTAAAAGCCCTAAATCACTTGAGCCCTGTCTAGGTCTGGCTACCTATAAAGATCCTTCCCCGAACAGGAACTTGCTCGATCCGTGCAATTTCGATATTCCAATTCTTGTTGTCGGGTGAAGTTTTTAGTCTTTGAGGTAGTAATCCAATTTAGCACTTGATGAGTGTGCTAAATATAGCGCGAGATGTGATGTATTCTCGTCCGATGAGTAAGCCCTGCCTCCGAGTCTTCTACTGGCCACATGAACGGAAGTTCAGGATTAAGCACGCTATTAGCGTTATCACAGACCATGGACTGCACCATGATGCAGCAAGACAGCATCCTTTTGTTTCAGGTTCTCTGCTGTCCTGCCATTTTCCTGCCGAGGAGTTCAGCAGGCAGAGGCTTGCACTTCCTAGCCTTGGTTCAACATAGATCAGATCCTACTCCCACTCTATCAGTTAGGCCTTAACTGGACACCTTCTTTTCGCATCTCTGGCTTAGTCTAGTCCTTCTCCTTTCCCTCTTTCGTTTCCATGGCAGTTCTCTTTAGAAAGAGTAGGGGGCCTGCTGGGATGTCGATTCATCAAGAACACCACATCGATGAAAAAAGAAGGCGGCTCTTTCTTAGTTGAATTCTAGAAAGGAAAGGTCAGAGAGAAGACAGGTTACGCCGAGACCTTGATCTTTCATTCCTTCCCGGGTTCCTTGGAT